ACATGGCACAACAATTAGCCTCTTGCAGAGGGTAATTTTTCAATGTCTTTCATGACGCCAGGGTCAAACAAGCTCTGTACAACCCATCCAGCCTCCTACTACAATCCTCAAGTCTTTTTATAGTCACAGGTAATTATCCCATGGTGAGATTACATCACTTCATCAGGAGGGTTTGCAGCTGACAGGAAGATGCTCTGCGGATGTTTTGGGAACTACATCCTCATTTAGCGAACAATTTGCTGTGGTCCCTATTGTTCTTTTCCAAGAATAGAACTGCCTTGGCAAAGCTTGTGCCTAAACTGGGAACTAAAGAGCCAAGGGCCATTGTAGATGAGAACAGAAACAACCACAGAGGGAAAAATGGTAACCCAGAGATGACTCCTGCATCCTTTATCTAGAGGAGAAAACAGACAGTATCTTTCTTCCTCTGTCAAAATAATCCTCTGAAGGTTGATCTGAGTGCTCCAATAGGGTAACATGAGAAACGGGTCTCAGAGAAGCCTGCCACTCAGCACAGGTAGTGCGGTTCTCAGCAGACCATGGGCAGCAGAGTCAGACAGACTGGGCATAAACACCAGCCAGCTTCACCACCTAGAACTGTCTGTCTCTGAGCAAGTTACCTAACCACTCTCTGCCTCAGTTTCTCATTTGTAAAATGGTTACATGACAACCTAGCTCATAGGTGTTCTGAGAGCTTTAAATGGGATGATAACAGAGCTTGACACATAAAGATGCTCTACACACATCAGTTTCCTACCTCTCAGCTCAGCGTACATTATCTCTGACTCCAGGTCCCATCAGAGATGGTGAGCCAAGGCCACCTGCCAACATCTCTCTGTCATAGCAATGTTAAGGGCCAAAGCCACGTCATCCCCAGAGAGCCTGGTTCTCAACATTTTCCATCTTCAATGAACACTAACTGCCTGGCTTTCTCACTCCACTGTGCAGAAACGCAGACGGCAGCTTTCCTTGATATTTTAAAATTGCTCTAGGTACATGTGTGATGTTTTAACATGGCCTAAACTGTCATGGCAACATTTTAAGGGGGGAAAAAATCGAAAACAGGTAATATCCTGAGATTTTTCAGTAAATATGCTCAGGAAAGGGGAGAATGAAAATCAAAAGCTTTTTATGTGAGTCAGCGAGCCAGCTGGGTTGAGACCATCAAACAACGCAAACATGGAGGGCAAAGAGGATTCCTGAAGTAATGGATCCTTCCTCAACTGGTCAAGTTTGACACCTCCTCCCAGTTCCTTATCTCCAAGCCTTCAGTTTTGTTTTTTAAAGAAGGCAAAAGATATCCTCTGCATAAAGTCCCCTGCCCAGCATGATTCAACAGTAGTTCACATACCAACTCTGTTGCTGTTATTACTTGGGAACCACACTCTATGTTTTATATGCCAAGTACCTTCCAATCATTTTTATTAGTCTAAACACTACCAGCCTAACATCCTTAAGGATCTTGTTTCTGTTTTATAGGAGACACGAAGAGGTCAAGTGATTTCCCTAAGGTCATACTGCAAGTTTCTTAAGATCACAGGCAGAGGGAAGGAGCTGTGAGTGTGGGACAGTGAGGATCCTAATTCCTCTCTAGCACAAGAAGAAAGGCAAGTTGGATAGTATGCACATAGATCTTATTTTCAATTCTGGTCTTCCCCTGGATGGTGTGACCGAGTGTAGAGAATAAGAAACACTTCCTTTTGCCACTCCTAAAAAGGAAAATTTCACTAATTCTCCCCATCTCTGCTAAAGGAATAAGCAAGGGGGAAGCTGGACCCAACGCCTCTCTAACACCTGCTCTAACTCCAAATCCCAAGTTGTATATAAGAGAAACCAGGATGGAAAACTGAACCCTGAATATGACATAACTTTACCCCAGAATTCTTAAATACCTCTTCATAGATGATTCTTTCCTTCTAAACCTGAGCGATCATGGCCAAGGCTAGCGGTGACTGTGGTGTTCACCACCAGAGACTATGCAGACAAACTGCGCCCCAGAGGATGCCCACTTACCTACGTCCAGTAGGATTCTCACAGTCACGAATGCGCATGTACAAACAAGCGTATTCAGGGTCTACTAGGGCCCACTGGGTAACAAGGCTTTGTATTTTACAAGCATCTCATTTTAAAATGCCTCTGGAATGGGTGTTCAGGGGCAGCTACAGGAGCAGGTACGAAATGTAGGAAGAGGAAGAGGGGACCTTTCCTGAAGTGAATTGCCTTTCTTCAACTTCAGAGTATCTGAGAGTCTCGGTTTCTTGGCAAGCTTGCTTGGCATGCTGCTCACAGCAGGCACAACCATACAGGTGTGCTCTGGGTTTCAGGCCAAGGAGTGGGCGCCTCCTTCACCCAGAAGCCACTCCAGAGAGAGGGAAAAACATTGGCAGCAACTTAGTGCACTGGATCTAAGTAACTGTGAAACCCCTTCCCTGCCTGTACGCTGCTCTGTGCCAGTACACATGTTTTATGGCGAGAAGAAAAGACTTAGGGGGTAGGGATGGCAGGGGAGAGAGGATTCTTTGCAGATGGGGGAGGGAAAGAAAACACCAGAGCCAACTTTCCCATCCTGGTCTGAGCCCACACTACAGACATACATTTTTCCACGTTGGAGAATAATAATCCCTTTATCCAGCCCATCTGGAACCATCAGTCTCTGATAATTGATTTCAGACCTTAGATGGAAAGTTGGGAAGGTGTGGGTAGTTGGAGACTGGGGTGGGGAATGGGAGGAGGCAAGAGTGATGCCCATAAAAAGGAGGGTGGGAGTAGAGGAAATGAAGCTAAAGAGGCTAAAGAGTTCAGACCCCGGAGGTAGACACTTTGCCCCGATACTGCCATGTAACATGCCGTACCAACAGCTGCCCGAGCAGAGCCTTGGAAGAGGCCAGTTGTGGCAGCATGCCAGGTTCTGGTCCTAGTGCTATCATGAGCTGGTCCTAAGACCTTGGGCAAGTTCACAACCTCTAAAGTACATCCTATGTCTGACCAGTCCTTCCTTTCTTCCTGCTTGGACAGTCATTCCATTCCTCCGTGTACTTACTGTTTGTTCTGGGCTGGAGGTAGGGTGGCAAACCTTTTCTATAAAGGGACATTTTAAAGTCAAAATATTTTAGGCTTTGGGGGCCAACAGTCTATGTCATAACTACTCAACTGTGCCACTGTAGCACAAAAGCAGCCACGGACAATATATACATGAATGAACATCACTAAGTTCCAATATGACTTCATTTATGGACACTAAAATGTGAGTTTGACATAATTTTTACATATCATGAAATATTACTCTTTTGTTTTCTCCAACCATCCAAAAATATAAAAACCATTCTCAGCTCACAGTCCATACAAAAGGAGGTAGGATTTAGCCTGTGGACCACAGTTTGCCAACTTCTACTCTAGAGATAAAGTATTGAACAAAACGGGATCTCTGTATTTTATGGTTCTGTGACTACCACTTCTAGAGGCTTCCTCTAGCTTTGGAGTGGCCCTACAAATGTAGGCCCTGCTTCATTTTGTTGCATATTGGTGTAGTCCAGCCTTCTTTTCCTTTGAAACCTCCTAAAACCATGATGCCCACCATTAGTGGCCCCCTTGGCTAGGCCAGGGGCTCCTCACAGCCAAGGAGGTCTCCGGCTTATGGGAAAAGTTTGAGTTAAGTGTCAGAATGGGGTGAAGAAGAAGAAATTTGTATGTGGGTGGTGGGGAAGGCTATGATGGAACAAAAAATCAGTAATTGTTTTTCCCAACAATTTAGAAGAAAAAAATAAGATTACATGAGATTGTACCATTATCTGTATATGTTAGGTAAGCAGGTGGTGGGAGTTGATAGAAAAGGAATGAAAGAGACAGCACTAAGCTATGGGGACTCCACAAGCCACACTATACCACACCACCCCCTGTCCAAGTCCGCTCCCAGAATCTAGCTGAGATGCCTCTCCAGGGAACACTGTCCAAAGAAAACTGCCATACACCTGTACCTACTGACGTCTGGTAGAAGCACCATTCTTGGTGAGCTCAATCATAAGTGACTGAGGCCCCTATCAGTGCTCACAGATACAGAGACACAGTCTGTAGCATCACCCAGAGGCCTACAGTAAACCCCTAAATACGCCCTTTCTAACAATACCAGGTCTAGAACCACATGAAGAGAACTCAATGCTTCTCCAGAGCATTGTTGAAGGCAACAAGGACTGTACAAACTCAAAAAGGCTCACTGCTACATTCTAGCCCCGGCTCATCAGCTTACCATCTTCAACCAGAAAGCCCTTAGAATCATGAAAGTATAGACTGAGGGAGCCAGATGTGACCTCAAATGTTATCCAGGTCAACCCTGGACATTTGACAGATAGAAAAACTAAGCCACAGAATGGTAAGTGGCTCATCCAACATCACAAAGTTCATAGTATCAGTGACCAGATCCTGTTTTCGCTAAATTGCAATACCACAACTCTGAACTCATTCTAAGAAAAAGCATAGAAGGACAAGAAACAAACAATAGAGAGCTAAACAACAATACTTAAGTGCTTATCGTGTTATCTCGGTCAGTCTTCACAACTACCCTGTGAGGGAGGTACCGTTATTATCCCATTCTACAGCTGAGGAAACTGAGGCTGACAGAAATAGAGACTTGTGCAGGGTCACAGAGCCAGCAAGTGGTAGGACTGGGCTCTAAACACAGACAGTTTGATTCCACCGCCTGCACCCTTACCACACATCATGCTCTGAATCCTGCACTCTTGCCTGATGACTACTGCTGAGAGGAGAGGGGGTGATAATGTTATCACCAGCAGGTTCCTACACACCCCTCCTCTGGCTGGCTCATTAGGCCCCTTGGTGCCATGCCCCCAGGACTGGCTCCCTGCTATACCACAGCACAAAAGCCCCCTCCCTCTGCTCTCACTGAGACTGCCCGCAAGATGTAGAGTCCCCTATCCCAGCCTTTGGGATAAACAACGGTATTGAGTCTTGTCCCTCCCACACATGGAAGGCAGGCTGCAACTTACCTGAGGCAAGTCCGTCTCCAAGGAGGGTGCTAAGGATCACCAGCGGAAGGAACACTCCATGTCCCACGGAGGCCACGGCAAACGCTGAGGTGCTCTTTGGTGCTATCCTGCCATGGCACATCTTTTATCCGTCCAAGTTATTTTAAAAAGAAAAAATTTAAAAGCCAGAAGTAAGAATTCTCAAGTCAGCCAGGGGTAGACTCACCTATAAAAAACAAGAAAAAGAATGTAATTAAGTGAAAACTTTAGCCATAAGTTAGTTACACAATTAGGTGAGGAAGGCATAATCACACACAAAGTTGAAAGAATTTTAGCAACTGAATTTCTGCTGCCAGGAGAAGATACAAGCTCAGAAGTGGCTTTTCAACTTCTCCCTGGGGAAACGCCAAGGCATGCAGCAAGCTGGCATCAGCATCAGCATTGGGGAGCCAGACCCTTGCGATAGGAGAAGGAGACAAGCTCTGGCTCACCCGGAGATCTGTCAGGCACAGCAGGACTTTCAGAAACTGCCCTGGGTCTGCCCACTGCCTGCCTCGGTGGCTCCAGCAGAGAGGAGGAGAGAGGGAGCTGCTGACACAGAGCTGCTACACCCTGAGTCTAGCTTTGCATTTGCCACTTGGACGTAGAGCAAGTTCAACTAATCAAAAGGAAAAAAAAAAACAAACAGAGAACACGTGTCTTTAAGGGAGAAATACACCACCTAGGGAAGGAATGCAGCAGCAAGAGCCAAGGGCCCTGGCTCGGCCTGCTCAACCACCAGAGGCTGGAGGAGCCCCTGAGGATCTGACTCTGACATGACTGCCACGAATCTCAAAAATGGGCTAAGTAATCAAGGCGAACCTGACAAACCTGTGACCCTAGAGGCCAGACTTGTTAGCTGTACCTGACAATGACTGGGGAGAGAACAGGTTGGAATTGTTAATTAGCCCCACCGCTGACTCTAGACAAAGACTTCAAGAGTAGGAACCAATATCTTAAAAAAAAATATCAGGAGTCAAGATTTTTAAGGATTTTTTTCTACATGCCTTCAGGGAAGCAGCTGAGTTGATGATACATTATGATATGGGTCTATTATATTTTAGTTAACTCATTTGATTTCATTTATCATAGTTTATAACAGGTATTCCAAATAATAAGATTACACTTCCTTTTTTCTTTTTGTTTTTTTGAGGAAGATTAGCCCTGAGCTAACATCCGCCACCAATCCTCCTCTTTTTTGCTGAGGAAGACTGGTCCTAAGCTAACATCTGTGCCCATCTTCCTCTACTTTATACATGGGATGCCTGCCACAGCAGGGCTTGACATGCGGTTCGTAGGTCCGTGCCTGGGATCCGAACCTGCAAACCCCGGGCCACCGAAACGGAACGTGTGAACTTAACCGCTGCACCACCAGGCCAGCCCCTTCCTTTTTTATTTTAATTCCACACATACCTCCTTCTCCATTAATAAGGCTTTATGTAAATAGATAGGGGGGCCTGCCATCTACAAATCTAATGAAGGATGCCCCTGAGACTACGTCAGGGATATTAACCAGATCTGCCTTTAATCCAAGCCTGAAGCCTTGACTCAGGCCTACGCCCCTCTTCTAAAAAGAGTTAACTGCAAACAGCAACATGAGTTGTCTCAGTCCAAAGGAAAAGCAGCTATGAGGGTCTTCAATGAGCATGAGCCAGGGGTTCAAGAATAGAGCCAGCCACTGGGTCCTCACCCACTACCCCTAAAGAGTTGTGATGGTAGCAGTCTTCCGTCCCCAGCTTTCACCCAGGCTCCAAGTTGAGCCTTTAAAGCTGTGGAAGAGAGACAGTTCATGGAGAGGTCTAGGGGTGAATGATCCAAGACAGTACACAAAATTGCATGTGAGTAAACATATGGAATATGTATACATTTATGTGGCTAAGAACAGTAAAGTCAGAATGCCAGGATTTAAATTTGTTTCCTCTATTATGACCTTGTGGCCAAATTACTCTCTTAGTCTCAGTTGTCCCCTCTGTAAAATGGGACAGTAACCATACTGTCTTCCAAGGGTTAATGTAAGAATTAGGATCATCTGACAAAGTGCTTGGCACAGTGCCTGGCACTTTGCAAGTCCACAATAAACACTGGCTGCTGTTGCCATGGTAATTATTAATAAGACCTGATCTGTGGGGACCTTGGATGTCACGAGCTTCACCTCCTCATTTGACAGATGCCAAAACCAAGGTCTGAAGAAGTTAAAGGATATGCCCAGGGCCACTAGCCAGTCAGCAATGGGCCTTTTGGTGCTGCTGTTTTAGATGCAGCCACAGCAGGAAACCCTAGCAGGCAGTCATCATCGCCTCAAGGCAACAACCAGTGGACCACTGAGAATAACACCTGCGTGTGCCACATCACAGCATGTGCACAACAAATATTTCTGTAGTGAATGGATGAGGCTGACTCAGGGTGCTGCTCTGGTATTCTGTGCACGAGTGGAGGTAATCAGGAAAGACTACCCAGAGGAGGTGATGCTAAGCTGACTGCTAGTGGATGTGTCCAGTGAAAAAAGGAAAAGAAGGAGGTACCAAATACAAGTGCAGCAGAGCAACGGGAGCATAGCACTCCTGGCAGAGGCCAGAGGCAGGGGCTAGGCTGAGGAGTTTAAACTTTATCCTAAAAACCACATGGAACTTACAGCATTACAAACAGGGAGGCTGTAGGACCAAACTCATTTAAGAAGTTCACTCTGGCAGGGATTTGGGGGAGAGTGGGGGGAGCGCCAAGTGGTAAAAAATCTTTAATTTAGTCTTTTATAATTATGTGGAGCTCTCTGGAGGGCAATTTGACAGTATCTGTCCAAAACATACACATATTCTCTGACCTACCAATTCTACTTCTAGAATCTGACCTCAGAAATCACATATGTGCAATGACACACATTCACTGCATTATCTGCACTGGCAAAAGATTGACAGGGGACTAAAATAAGTTGTCATACACCCATATAATAGAATATTATGCAGTGGTTTAAAAGGAACTGGGGGGCCGGCCTTGTGGTGTAGTGGTTAAGTTCGCATGCTCCCCTTTGGCAGCCTGGGGTTTGCAGTCTCGGACCCCAGGCACAGACCTACACACCACTCATCAAGCCATGCTGTGGTGGCATCCTACATACAAAAAAGAAGACTGGCACAGATGTTAGCTCTGGGACAATTTTCCTCAAGCAAAAAAAGAGGAAGATTGGCACAGATGTTAGCTCAGGGCCAATCTTCCCACCAAAAAAAAAAACCTGGGTAGTTCAGTCTGTACTAACATGGAATGACTTCCAAAATTAGTATGTGAAGAAAACCACTTATGTGTATTTTTTTGTTGTTGTTGTTTATGCACAGGGTGTATTTGCCACAATGTTAATTTCAGGTTATATACAAAGCCAAAAGTTGGAAACAATAAAATGTCCAACAATAAGAGATTGGTTAGGTAAATTATGGGAGATCCATAAAACAATGTTGGGCAGCCATTACAAGCCATGTCGCCACACGGTGATCTTGAGCTGAATTTAAGGTCAAACAAAAAGGCAGAACCCAATGCATTATTTACAGTCAGATCCCAATTTTTTTACTAGTAGATACTCATCTCCAAGTTTTGAAATTATGAATAATTTTTCTTTTCTTCTTAATTCTGTTTTCCAAATTTTCTATAATCAGCATGCATTGTGTTTATAATCAGAAAAGTTATTTTAATGTTAATTTGTAAACACTTTCTTCTAACTGAAAAACAGTAAATTTGACAAGCAAAGTTTGTCCCCAAATATCATTTTTTTTAACATTGAAAGTTTTTTTTTTTCACATTTTTTTTTTTTTTATTAATGCACTTATGTGTATTTTTAAAGGACACACACATGCACACACACACCTACATGCACTGAAAATCTCTCTCTGGTATTATGCACACGAAACTGATAGCTAACGATTGCCTTCAGGGAAGGGAACTGAGTGTTTAACAGGAAAGGAAACTCATTTTTCACTGTAGGTATTCCCTTTTAGTCTCCTTGAGTGTTGTACCTCGTGCATGCATTACCTATTCAAACAGATAAAATACAAAATAAAATTAATGTAGCAAGGCCTTCCTGTAGACTGCCTGTCTCCTCCCTCAACAAACTGACATTCAAATAAACCTGACTGCTCCCTCTGCCGGGAGCAGAGTCACTTTCAAGGCTTAGCACAAGGGTCATCTCCTGGAGGAATTCTTTTCTGACACTTCATACCATGCCCACCTCCAACAGAACTAACCCCCTGCTTACCCCAAAGGACCTTTAGCACCCTGCTACAACTGCAACTCTAGCAGATTATTACATCTTTTGGTTTATCTGTCTCACGTCACTAGGCTCAAAGTTCCTTGAAGGCAAGGACTGTCGATTACTCAACTTGGAATCTTCAACAGCCAGCACAAGGCCTGGTAACTGACAGGCAGGCAGCAAATGTTTACCAAACTCGCAAATACTGCAGGGAGGAGCCCGTGTGGAATTGGGAAGATGTAGACATATGAGCTCCTGTTTTGTTTTGTTTTGTTTTGTTTTGTTGTGAAGACTCCTAGCTCCTCCCTTATTGCTTAAGCAGCTACCTGAGCCAAGGGACCAATTCCACCAGCTCACTTGAACAAGTGCAGAACAGACAGGGTGATGGAAATGGCAGCTTTGCAAAGAAAAGAGATAAGATGAACGGAGGGTAGTCATGCAAGACTGAGCCAAGAGTTAGTGCTTCAGAAAGAACACAGAGAAAAGAGAATCCCCACAACCCCAGAGTATCGCCCAGAACAGAAGAACCCAGGTACTGTGGAGAACGAGCGATACTATACATTGGATCATTTTAAGAAAGGATCTGTTTTGAACACAGAATTTAAAAAACAAAATAAAACCTGTCCTTGAATTGTGGCTTTAGACCAAGTGAAAAGAAAAACACTTCAGAACAAATGAACTAGGTATTCATCACCCCTAGAAAAACACACAGGTAAAAACTTAAAAAAAAAAAAAAAAAAAAAAGGAATCATTTCCCTTCAGCATTCCTTTGGTATGTTAGTGACCACTTCCCCCAATTAAAAAAAATTATGATTAAGTAGAGATAGAAAGTAGAAATGTGACTGTCATGGGCTGGGGGAACAAGAGATGGGGAGTTAGTGTTTAATGGATATGGAGGGTCAGTTCTGTGAGACGAAAAGAGTTATGGAGACAGATGGTGGTGATGGTTGCACGACATT